AAAGAGAAGAGAAGGATTTTTTATGCTTTGATCGATGATCCGAATGAGAAGACAAACGCTTGACTTTATACTAAAAGCTCAACGTCTATGCCATAAATAGGAGGATACGTGAGTTATGAGAATTTGATTCTCTAACGTCAATGTCGTAAATTGATTCCAACCTTAATTCATGAGACTTAATTAGGTTGTTACAAAATCAATCAAGGAGATATTTCTTTGAATTAGTCAACAACATAATTCAATATGGATTAGGACAAACAAGAATAAACTAATGGGTTACAAGCCCATATTATTAATCTCAAATCCCAAATCCAACCCATATGTGTTTGGGTTTCTCCTTTGACCTCCAAAGTGGTCCAATTAACATTTAGTTAAAATTCCAAGCTTAGCAAGCTAACCACTTTGGACCTCCATTTCTCATTCAAACGAACTCCGTTTTTGACATTCCAATACACCACCACGTAGTGCTCGCAGCAACGATTCCATCGTGCCCAAGAACCGGTCATTCCGATGAACGTCTTCACCGGAAACTCCACCGTAACAATGGTCAAAACCATTTTGTCAAAAACAAGTTCCAACATCTGTGTCTACGGCTCATTTGGTTGCTGTTCTCTAGCAGTGGTTCTCTTTGGGTTGCTTGGCACAATTATCATCAGAAGCTCTCAGAAACTAGTTTTTGGAGTCTAAAAGGACGAAATAGTGACTCTTGGCTGTGGAAATCTCTGTTAAAGCTGAGGCATTTGGCTTCTCAATTCATCAAATGCAAGGTCGGAAATGGTAGAAAGGCTTGGTTTTGGTATGACAGTTGGACTCCATTAGGCCCTTTAATCAATCTGTTTGGCGATCAAGGTCCTAGAACCACAAGAATTCCACTCTCAGCCAAAGTGGGGGACGCTTGTAATGCTTTTGGGTGGAAGATGGCTGCTCCAAGGTCTGATCAGGCTGAATCCCTCCAAATCCATTTGTCTTCTAAGCAGCTGCCCACTAGTTCCTCAGAGGATGATGTATTTGAGTGGGAAATTGATGGTAAATCAAGCATTGGATTTTCCTCTTCTAAAACTTGGGAGAAGTTAAGGCCCAGAGAATCAGAAAAAATATGGGCGCCTCTCATCTGGTTCAAAGGAAACACTCCAAGGTTTGCTTTCAACTTCTGGATTACTAACCTGGACAGACTTCCTACTATGTCTAGGCTTGCTTCCTGGGGTCTGCCTGTGTCCACAGTTTGTAGCTTATGCTCCAGTCCTGTCGAAAACAGAGATCATTTGTTTCTTCTTTGTAGTTTTACTCGAGTGCTATGGGACAAAATTTGGCTCAGACTCGGGCAGCAAGCTGTTTATTTCAGCGACTGGACATCCTTGCTGGCTTGGGTAAAGGGACAAAGCAGTTCTGTTCCACGAACCCTTAGGCTTCTGATTATCCACACCTTGGTCTATATGGTTTGGAAACAAAGAAATAATATCGTTCATAATCAGATCACCATCTCTCCTATTGCCATCTTCAGAGTTATCGACCGTCAGATCATAAACACTATCACTGCTAGAAGTTTAGGAATCTTATGGCGTTATGGCTACACTAATGGATCCAAGGTTTTTCCTTTCTGAGAATTAGTATTTTTCGTATTGGGCTTTGTTTTTTCCTTCTTTTTTTTTGGCAAAGCTTAATTTCTTAGGTCTTATATCTCTTGTAACACCTATCTTTCATTTATATTTAGCAAAAAAAAAAAAAAAAAAAAAAAAAACACTGTTTTGTACATATCAACTAGTCTTTATATTTCGTCAAATTTGATATTGTAGAAGTGAGGGTGTTAAGTTTTACTCATGCATAAAAGCCACAAACACCGGTTAACTAAATCGGTTTGTTCATCTACAGATCCCTAAACCAAGATTTCATATTTGCTCATATCATAGAAGCACATGCCTGATTGCGATCACTTGCAGAAGAACATAAATCCAAAAGCAAACAGAAAGACCTTGACTAAAACCTTAAAATATACAGTATATCCTTTGTTTCTTGTGTTCTGTTTTCAGTCTTACTCTTTCAATATCTGACTGTGATTACTTGCAGAGGAATTAAATATTTAAAAGCAAACAGAAAGAACTTGACACCATGCGATGTTACTTCACATTTACGTAATTGTTTAAGAATTCTATTCAATGCTACTTCCGTAAGAGTTTAGTAAACCAAACTGAAAACATAAGCGTAACATTTCTCTGGTTATGGAAATATTTAGTGAACCGGATTAAACCCGGAATTAAGCTGTGCGTTTAAAATGTTAAGTACTAATTAGACAGAGGAAAAGTCACCAAAACTCAACCAGCAAAGTGGTAGTGACTCATCATGATAGTCTCACCAGGATTCGAGTAATGATATTGGTACCCCGAAAGAAGGAAAAGTGTCTCCTTGCTTCCATTGAGTGTCGGTGGAAGATGAATGACATAGGAGTTTAGACGTAAACTCTGTGTCTCCCCAGCTGCTTGACATAGGAAAAAGGACGAGTTAATCTTAACAGCCTCTTAGCCACTCTTGCTTCATCTTTGTTATCCAACCAACAAGCTGAATTACATTATAATAAAGTCTGAAATCTGAATTCTTCATCAAAAGTACATATACTTACTCATACAGTCATACTCATTATATATAAGCATACCTGCAAGTATCATCAAACCGTAACAAAGGATGATTTTAAGGGTGACCGCGACTGATTCAACCTTCCCCCAAGTATCACCTTCTCTCTTTCTTTCAATGCAATCTCTACGTACCAAATATTTTGCTTCCCATCATACTTTTACTAAACCGACTCTGATCAGTGCGAAAAATCAGAATTCTAGATTCCTTGCGAAGCAAGTTAGCCGGAAAACCTTCTAAAACCATCAAGGGTTTCCAATGCGTCTCCTTTGGATCATGCACAACATATCATCAATCACACAAGACGGCTCTTGCCTCAGATCACTCAACTTATCTTATCATCTCCATGATTTCAATTTAGTTTCTTTGGGTTTGTAAGCATAAGAACAGAACAGTGACTATCCCTCAAGTAAATCTTCTCTTCCATCACCACGTATGTCTCAAACACAGTCGCAGAGGTAGGTTCGGACAAAAGGTTAGTCTTATTGCTGCTAGGAGGAGAGGTCAAGACAAGCTGCTGCTTCATCCGCCAAGGCCGACTAGGGTTGTTAATTTAAACATAAAGAAACATCTGTTTCTTTTCTCGTTTGGACCTTGTTCTCAAATTCTTAACATTTTTATGATAATCTTTGTCTCCTCTCTCTAAAAGTTTATAGTATACATTGCAAATTTTCATCACAAGTTTGATTATTATCCGAATCTTGTTTACAGATGAGTAAATTCTGCAACCTTGTTCTGTTGTTTATACGAGAACAAGGAAAGCACATGAGGCCATTTTTTGGAAATCTTAAAGTGAAAACCAGATTGAACCGCAAGCGTAACATTTTCTGGTTATGGAAATCTTTAGTGAACCGGAGTAAACCCAGATTCAGCTTAAGTATTTATTAAATAGAAAAAGGTCACCAAATCTCACCCAGCAAAGTGGTAGTGACTCAGCATGATATGAGAGGCTCGCCAGGGTTCGAGTAACGATATTGGTACCCCCCCCGAATGAGAAGAAGACTCATGTCTCCTCTCGGTTTCCATCAAGTGTTGGTGGATGATGAAAGAGTTTAAAAATGTAAACTCCTTCATGAATTGGCTGGAATGCAGTTGCAGCACAGCCTCCGGGACTGTCTATCACTGAGAATCGTGCCTTTGATGATAGCCGAAATGAGGTAATCAAAATTACCTCTTTTTTTATTTTTATATATGGGAAAATGAAAACTTGAAGTTATTAACATTGCTAAATCGTTTAGAGTGGAAACTTACTTATTCTAAAACCACATAAATCTGGGTTTACCGAGTTTTAGTGAGAGAAATTATTAAACCACATAAACGATTAGAAAGGTACACAACCATTTTGAGCAGATATATTTTCGCATAAATTCACATGTTGAAATAAACGATTAATCATATATCAAACAAATAAGGCGTTTTATGTAAACTCTTCCCATTGGAAAATAATTGAATGCATTTCTAAGAAGATTTAAAATTATAGTCATAATTAAAGATTACGCACCATACGAACGATTAAATATTACTCACCATATAGAAAGACGACATAATGCTCAACATATGAAAATCCAAGGAAATAGATGGGCTAGAAAATTTTAAAAAACAAAAAGTTTTACAATAATTCCTGCTTCTTAATAAAAATGCTTATTTCTTCCTAATCAAAACTGTCAATGTAATGGTATTTCTCTCTTGCCTTGTTTGAAATCAAAACTGTCAATGCATGTGTTGCTGGCACCCTTCTCCGAACAGAGCCAAAGACAAACAAAGATTTCAACACACTATGAGCACATTTTTTGAGAGACGTCAGACAGCGAAAATAGATATAACACATGAAAATTTACAATTTAGAGAGTTACTAATCAAAGATCTTAAAACTGAAAGAAGCGATAATTCTCTTCAATAAAGCCAGTAGATTGAAAAAATTTCATTCAATGTTTCTAAATCGAAGAATTTTTTATATCAAATAGTTAACATCGTCCAATGGTAAGGGTGGCGTCTCAGCAAATCAAAAGGACAAACGGAGATCAGCGAGGACGAGTCAACAAAGCTATTTTTAAGCGAGTCAAATGCCTACATCAAGTCACTTGCGTGGCTTGGAAACAAAGGGATTCCCACCTTTATAAAACAAAGTCACGACTTGTAGCTTGCATAAAGCCATCTCCAACCAACATTTCAATAGTCACACCGTTCACTACTTGGTTCCACATCTTACAAGTTTAAGGCATCAATCTTTCTTTTGATTACTCATCTCTAATATAGATTTCAGCAGCTCAAAGTATTCTTTATCCCTCCTTTATTATTGTTGAAATTTGCTCAATATCTTTTATTTGTACAGAGCATGTTGATAAAGAAAGTGAAACAGAATTGGACGAGAGAAGGAGAGAAACTGTTTTTATTTACTTCGACAATTTTGTACAATAACACACGTACTTATATAGCTGTCTTACGGTCGTAACAGTTGTGTCTTATCCAACAAGTCACAACTCTTACCCATACACCCTTGTGTCTTAACAAAGTCACGGTTAACAACTACCGATTGATTTTACAACACAATAATATGTTATATAGAATAACATAAGACTAAACTCAATTATCACTGAACTCAACACACTCAATTATGTACATAACTTCTCAAACAGAATCATTAACAACACTCTGTAAATTTATCAGCTTTTAAAAAAAGGATTCTACCATTACCAAAGTAAGTGATAGAGAGCGGAAGCTAAATAACGGACGAGAATACAAGATCTCTAAGAGAAGTCGGATTCACGAACGGATCTTGCTTAGAACGTCGAAACTTGACGAAGAAGCAATAAAGATAGGGTCGAGATCGGTAGCGATATCGACGTGGTTTTGCAAGTCCTCCTTGCAGGGCTTGAACACAAACTCTTAGGGTTGAGAGTCCTCCTCTCTAGGCTTTACACAAAGCTCTCTTAAAAAACTCAATTTATTCAATAATCCAAAGCTGCCCCTCTTAACGCATAATCTAAGCCTTATATAAGGCGTTCATAAACGAAAACCCTAATCTAAAAACATAAACGTATATACTAATTAAAAGCCCAAAATAAAAGCCCATGTATCATAGATGACGCTGCATCAGTCTCCTCGGGTTAGAGAAGATTCATCCTCGAATCTTGCGACGTTCGATCTTGAAGATGCGCTGCATCAGTCCCTCCGGGTTAGAAAGATTCGACCCGAATCTTAAATCGTTGAACATATGATACCAACTGATAGAGAGCGGAAGCTAAATAACGGACGAGAATACAAGATCTCTAAGAGAAGTCGGATTCACGAACGGATCTTGCTTAGAACGTCGAAACTTGACGAAGAAGCAATAAAGATAGGGTCGAGATCGGTAGCGATATCGACGTGGTTTTGCAAGTCCTCCTTGCAGGGCTTGAACACAAGCTCTTAGGGTTAAGAGTCCTCCTCTCTAGGCTTTACACAAAGCTCTCTTAAAAACTCAATTTATTCAATAATCCAAAGCTGCCCCTCTTAACACATAATCTAAGCCTTATATAAGGCTTTCATAAACGAAAACCCTAATCTAAAAACATAAACGTATATACTAATTAAAAGCCCAAAATAAAAGCCCATGTATCATAGATGACGCTACATCAGTAAGCAAAGCAAATAATAAACCCGTGTATATGATAATAGACAAGTAGCTAAGGACCAAAGCCGCACACTTAAAGTGTAAAATTGGCATTTGACCGTACAAAAAACCAAGAAAATAGAGTCAACATCCACAAATAAGATAGTGCAGCAAACTCATACATGAGAAAATTGGACAGTGTAATGTACTCACACTAAAAAATTCCACTTTGTACACAATTCGGATCGAATTTAGATTAAGTTCCTTTACTTATAGAAGTAATGAAAAGAGAAGTATTGCACCCATGTATTTCCTAATTGCGATACCATAAACTATTTATCAGTTATTTCTCCGGTTCTCCCATATCCATGGCTTTAGGCTCAACATCTCACACCCCTCAAATGAAACATACAAAACAACCATCTCATCCCCAAAAACCACAATTGTATTATTAAACTATAGGTCTAGTAAACCCAACGTATTTACAATAATGGAACAAATCTCAAAAATAGTCATTAACAAATCTATGTTTTGGGAACTGGGAAAAAGATTCAGATATTTCTAAGGGTCAAACAAATCTATGATTGATTGCCCATAGAACCCCATAAATCTAGAATGATATTAAGTAGGAGAGTGTGTAATCAACAAAGTCGATAGAAGCATATAAAAAAAAAAACAATAAGGAAATCAACAGAAGTACTACTTCTAGAAACAAATGATCGCTGCATGCATAGACATTAAGAGACAAGAACAAAATGACTAACCTACGATGAGGTTGAAGCGGTGGTGAGTGGTGACAATGTTGAATAGAGGGGCCGTGGCTCCACACGCCAACTACGGACCATTGAAGATGAAGAAGCCCTTGGTAAGAAGACGTTCACAGTCTCCATACTTTCACCATTGTCTCATATCCATGGCCTGATAATAACGACATGATGCTGAAACTTTCAGCCTGAAAGTAACAAAATTAAATCAACCATCACATGTTTACTCAAACAAAAAAAAAAGTCACAACTACGAATCTACACAAAGAAGAGATTAGTGATTACCTAAAAGAGGAGATCAAAGAGCGTGACAACAACAATGGTAAGGAGATTCAAGAGCGAGCACGACAAGCGATGGTAAAGGTGTCAGGTGTGGAATCTCTAAAACGATGACTGGCGGGGATGAGTGAACGGAGGATTGCAAATCAGGGATTTTAAAACAAAACATAAATTAGTAACACAACCAAATTGAATAATCGAAGAACCAGGACATATGTTCTTCATTGAATAATTGAAGAGCATGACAAATCGGCGAGTTAAAAGGATCACCCTAGAGGCGAAATTAGGCAACGCTGCATACTCAACGGAGAATTGGGAAATTGATTTTGTGATTACTGTTTTTGATTTTTAATTTCTATATACTTTGACTTGAAAAATTTGTAAGGGAACGACAGAGGAGAAAAAATTCTTCAAAACTACATTGATGAATCCCGAAAATAGATTTCTCAAGTGAAAAGTGTTGTGTCTTTCTGTTTTTAGAGAGGCATTGATTCGAGGGAAAAAGTAATCTCAACCGTTAGTTTTGCTTTAATAAAAGACGCGACTTTTGCTTTAATAAAACAATCTCATCCGTTAGTTTTTCTTCTTTTTCATACTCAACCGTTAGATTATAAAGATGACGTCAGCAGACCCAAAAAAGTGGGTTTGCTATTATATATAGATTCTTAATTCAATTTCTGTTACTACAAATCAGAAACAGAACATCACCTTAATTATCTGCAAAACCTGCAAATTAAAAGACATTGACTTGGTCTTTAAATCCTGTGTTTGGCTTCTTCACACGAATGGCATTTCAACAAAGTTTCGTAAAAATATTGAATAAACGCTAGAGAAATTATCTATAACTAAGAAGTGAGGCAAGAGAAGTTATCTAAACCTCTGAAGATGACAAAGCTCAATGGAAGGCGACTTTTACTAAACCGACTCTGATCAGTGCCAAAAATAACTAACTTTCCTCCAAAATTCCTTGAGAAGCACGTTAGCCGGAAAACCTTTTAAAACCCTCAATAGTTTCCAATACGGCTCCTCTGGATTATACACCATTAGTGGATAATACACTCTTGACTCATGAAGATTAACAGAAAACAACATATCATCAATCAATCACACAACACGGCTCTTGCCACAGAGCATTCAACATATCTACTCCTCCCCATCCATGACTTCAAATTAGTTTTTTTTGGTTCGTAAGCATAAGAACAGTGCTTATCCCTCATGTAAATATTCTCCTCCATCACCACATATGTCACAAACTCAGTCACAGAGGTATGTAGGTTCGGACAGAAGGTTGGTCTTATTGCTGCTAGGAGGAGAGGTCAAGCTGCTGCTTCAGCCGCCAAGGCCGACTAGGGTTATTTAAACATAAAAGAATTTGTTTCTCTTTTCTATATATGTTTGAAGTTTTGTTGTCTTGTATTTCCGTTTGGACGACCTTGTTCTACAATTCTAAACATTTTTATGATAATCTTTATCTTCCCTCTCTCTCTCTTTAAAAGCTTATAGTATACATTGCAAATTTTCATCACAAGTTTTATTATTGTTCTCTATCCGAATCTTGTTTATAGCTAGATGAGTAATTCTATCACCTAAGCATAATTTGCTGTTGGTTAGTTTGCAATGGTTCCCTAACGAACCGTATCAAACCGAGTATTTAGTTATATGTTTAAAACGTTTTAAGTATCAATAAATTAGACAAATAGCTGCCAATTCCGAACCGGTGAAAATGGTAGGGACTCAGCATGATGAGAGAGTCTCACCACGGTTCGAGTAGCGATATTGGTACCTTGTTGCTACCACGAGGATGTCTATCACAAAGAATCATGCCTTAAGTGGTAGCCGAATTAAAGTAATCTAAATTACTTCATTATTTTTATAATCTTAAAACTGAATCAGGCAGCGAACCTTCTAAGTGACACAGAGGGACTTAAAGACAAGAGAGTTTTAATGGAGGTGGAGCCATGGCGTGACTTTTTGAGCCATGGTTGTTCATATGGAGATTCGTTCCCTGGTTCGAAGCAGCAGCTAGACGAAAACTGTGTAATGGCTATATCACTGAAGAGGAACCGTATCTTCATTCCTTATGCGAATCTCGTCTTCTTCTTCTTCTTGTGTATCTCTCTGCTCGATAAAGCTGTTTGCATCAGGATTTCGAATCAGATCTCGGATACTATCGTTGATTCTCCCGATCGTCCTTTGAAATCTGCGGTTTTCGCTCTTGGAAGCTTCTGGAGATCCGAGGCTGCGTTTGGTTGTATCAATGGCGTCGTTAGAACAACCGCCGGTTACGCCGGTGGAACGAAGACGAATCCGGAGTATAGAAACTTAGGTGATCACGCCGAGTCCGTACAGGTTAGTTTATTGTTTCGATTTCGAGGATTGAGCCAATGTTTACTTGGATTTGATTTGATCTACTTAATAGTTTATTGTTTTGATTTTGAGGATTGAGTCAATGTTTACTTCGTTATTCTATTGCCGCCGGTTTTGAATTGAGCTTTATGATTGATCTTGTTGCCTCTTATAATTTGTGTAGTCAATGATTGAGCATATTATTCGACGATTGGAAGATGCTTGAAATCAGCAATGTTCTATCTTAATAGCTTAATTCTGTAGCTGATTAGCTTGTTTTGTTGAATTTTGGTAATGTGTGATGTTATTGTAAATGTGATTTGAAGTTAAACTAAGTTGATCTGTTACCTCTTCTTGTTCGACTGAATTCATTTCGCTTGGATCGACAAATTTGTGTAGAGAATTGGAGGATGCTGTATAGACTTAATGTTTTATCGTACTTAATATCGAAATTATGTAGCTGGTTTAGCTTGTTTTTCTGAGTTTTTGGTAATGTTAGTGTAAATGTGATTGAGGTTAACCTAAATCGTCTATGTTCATCTGCGCTGTTGAAAAGTAATCCTTGTGTTTCCAGGAGCTGGGTTTAAAGTTTCTGATCCTTTAGATTTGTGTTGCTCTTGCTCTGTAACTGTCTTCAGGTTGAATATGATCCACGGATAATCGGTTATCGTCAGCTCTTAGATGTATTCTGGTCTAGTCATGACTCTAGACAAGTGTTTGGACAAGGTCCTGATGTGGGTAATCAATACAGGTAAAGAGGAAGTAAATCTCCCTCACATTAGCTGTTTGGTAATCCTAAGTTTGTTTGGGCCAAATATATAACGTCGGAATCTTTTTGAACAGATCCTGTATTTTCACTAATTCTACAGAAGAGTTGAGACTGGCTTCTACTAGCAAGGAAAGGGAGCAACTTAAATCAAGAAACAGTATTGTGACTACTCAAATTCAACAGCTAGGAACGTTTTATCGCGCAGAGCCTGATCACCAGGTTCAACTTTATGTCTCTGTACATCTTCGATTCCTATTACGGCTTGTTAGCTGTTAATCCAGTTGTTAGAGGATAAACAGTTAGGAAAATCGATGTTCTCTTGAATTTTGTATATGCAGAAGTTCGAGCTGAAACAACATCCATTTCTTATTCAGCTAATTGGAAACATGGCAGAAGAAGAGCTCGAGAGATCAGCTCTAGCCACAAAACTAAATGGTTATGCAGCCGAGCTCTGCCCGTCTAGAATCCAGAAACATATCGACTCTAGAGTTAATGAGATCATTAGAAAAGGTTGGCCTGTCTTGAAAGACATCTAATATGTAAGCCGTGTTAGATCTTCGCGCTCTTGGATTTGATTGATAGTCTCAGATGTAAGTTTTGGTTCATTCTTTAGGCCAGGAATTGGTCGCAACAATGTTTATGTCTTACTCTTGCAGTCTTGCCCCTTGAGTGGTGATTGGTCAGTGTTTTGTCTTGTTTCATTCGGATCATTCTCACAGAGTATGCTTTTTGTTTTCTTGTAAGCAGATTCATTTAGACTTTCATTGTATCATTATGGTAGTGATTACCAATTCATTGATATTATATATATATATATATATTCTATACTTTGATTGCCAATCACTCACATAGATTATGCTTTTTAATGGATCCCACGGAACAACGGCTTCGGTACTTACATCTTAGTATAATTGATTATGATGTCTAAAGAAAAAAAAAACAGACTGTTTTTATCATACTGCATCACACGCACAGTTTGTTTGGCATCCTGAAGAAGACAACTTCAGACAACAACCTTATGAGAAATGGGTCAGATTCTCGATACTAGGCCTGGGCGTTCGGGTATTTTGGTTTACAAGTTTAGAAGCTGTTCGGGTATTTTACGATTTTGGATCAGGTTTGGTTCGGGTTTACGTTTACCTGAAGTATCTGAAAATCAAAAAAATTTGTATCCGAATGTATCCAAACTACTTGAAAATACATAAAATATCCAAAACACACTAGTATTATAGTATCATCAAAAAGCCAAGGATCTGACCATTATAGGTTAGAAGCAGCAATATGTAATCGAGCTGTTTTATTAGGAATAATTGGATCATTTTAGTAATCTAGAAACCTTTTGCTTGCATATTATTTGGTAAAATCTTGCAAGTCATGGATTAGTTGTGTATACATTATAATCAATATTTTGAAAAATACTAGATATATAGAAAAGCAAATATATATATATATATATATATATATATAGATGAAATTAGATTTAGAAAGGTGTGATTGGATTAAGGTTTTTAAGTGGTTAAATATATTTGATTTTTGAAGTGTTTTTACTTTCTTAGTGGATATATTTATTTATCTATTTTCTTGGTTTTGAGTTGTGTGATATAAAAACGCGTCCCACAGTTGCAAACGTCAATAATAATTAGGGTAAAGCAAAGATAGTGAAGCAGAGCCGCAAAAACATTTTCTCAAAATCAACGAAGATAGATTCAGATCGGAAACGTAAGAACGATTCGGTCTCCTCCACAGATCGAACATTGAAAGAGAAGAAAGACGATCATCACCATCACCATCACAACAAGCATCGGAAGAAGAGCAAGATGGCGTCGAGAGACCAAGTTAAGGCATCGCACATTTTGATTAAGCATCAAGGATCTCGGAGGAAGGCGTCGTGGAAGGATCCAGAAGGGAAAATCATCTTGACTACCACTAGAGAAGCCGCCGTTGAGCAGCTTAAGTCGATCCGTGAAGATATTGTCTCCGGGAAGGCGAACTTCGAAGAAGTGGCGACTCGTGTTTCTGACTGTAGCTCTGCTAAACGCGGCGGCGATCTTGGTTTGTTCTTATCCCTAATCTCTAGGTTAGCGAGTTTAGGTTTAGGATGATTGCACTTAGTGTTAGATCTAGTGGCAATGACATTAATCTGGATAGTCTTAAGTGATGTTTGTAGAAGGAGTATCTATTGGATCTAACTGTGTACATTGAAATTGAGCATAATGATCATATAAGTCTGCTTAGATCATTACTGTTGTTTAGAATCTCACAGTTCTTCCTTGATGTGTTTATAGTCATCACTAATGGTTAGAAACTTTAGCTTGATAAATCTTTAGTTGGTGCTCAGAGATTTTACTAATCTCTAGCTTCTATCATCACTAATGTTTAGTTTCTTCCTATTTCCCAATAAATTTATACTTGGCTCTCATTAATCTCGCTAATGTTTGTTTTGATCATCACCGATGTTGAGAATCTGAAGTTTATCTTCCTTGATGAATCTATAATTGTTGCTAATGTCCACATAGATTAACACCGATGATTAGAATCTAAAGTTTCTTCCTTGATGAATCTGTAATCGGTACTCGTAAATCTTACTAATGTCTGCTTAGATCACTACTGATGTTTATATTCTGAAGTTTCTTCCTTGGTGGATCTATAATTGGTGCTCATAAAGTGTACTAATGTCTTCTTAGATCATAACCTATCTAGAGTTTTTATTCTTGATGATGGATCTATAATTGTTGCACATAAATCTTATGCTGGAAGTGTTCATGTTGATTGACTATGTTCAGGTCCCTTTGGTCGAGGTCAAATGCAGAAACCATTTGAGGAAGCGACTTACGCACTCAAGGTGGGAGATATAAGCGACATTGTCGATACAGATAGTGGAGTCCACATCATTAAGAGAACAGCTTGACCTGATCCGATCTAATAAATGTATCGAAGGTGCCAGCTTTGTTTCCCTTCTCTTCTTGACCAGAAGAACATAGAAGAAGAAGAATAAGAAGAAGTTAATTCAAGGTTATTGTTATTGTGGTTTTGATTCGGAAACTGTCTACGAATTTGATACAAACAACCCAAACATATGATAAAACCAGACACTCTATCTCATTTCTTCTTAAAGCTTCATAAGCACATTCCATGTCGTAGACAGTGATTTGTATAATCATATTTCAGTATCTTTGTCATATGTTACTGCAACATTCTGGCATCTTTTTTAGTGTTGTCATTTTGCTCTTAAACTTTTGATAATCTTTGGTAGGGATGTCAAAATGGGTTAATACCCATGGGTTACCCGAACCAGTCCATGATTTTAGTGGGTTTGGGTAGAATTTTTTTACCCATATATATAAATGGGTTTTAGTGGGTTACCCTATTAGGGTTATGAGTTTAATGGATAAAACCCATTACGGTCATGGGTTACCCATGAGTTTCATAACCAAAACTAAAAAGTAAAATTTATATATTCTATATTAATATATTATGGAAATTTATATAAATATATGTAAAATATCTTTTTTCCTTTACAACTATATAAGTAAAATATCTAAAATAACTATTAAAGTTTACATTTTATCTAAAAATAAAAGTAAAAAGTAAAATATATGTATAATATTATTTTAATTTATTTATTATTAAAAGTAAAAAGTAAAATATATGTAAAATATATGTAAAATAAAAGTAAAAAGTAAAATAACTAGATTTTTTTTAATTTATTATTTAAAAAGTTTTGTTGGTTTACAATTTTTTTTGGTTTACAAACTTTTGTTGGTTTACAATTTTATGTTATTTTTTTGGATTTTTATTATTTATATATTTTATTATACATATATATGAGTACCCATATAAAACCCATTAAGCCAATGGATTTCTACAATAATGGATTTGGGTATGTAAATTAAACCCATATAAATATATGGGTCGGATCAAACCCGTCCATTAAACACTCGAACCCATATAAGTTTGGGTCGGATCGGGTCGGATTACCCATTTTGACACCCCTAATCTTTGGCTCTCTTCTCCACTCTTAATATTTGAGAAATCGTTTATTGTTAGGCGTAATTTAACGTCTAAACCAGTTTAGTAGGCTCGAGCGGGATGTTTAGGCTTTTGACTTTTCTTAACAACATTTAAGGTTAGACCCATTTAGCAATTAATCTAAACAGGTTTTTATATTAAACAAGTCATGGAGAACCCCATTGTATAGAACTTATACAAACCAAACCTTAAGATCGATCCAAATAGTTTTCTCTAAAAAAATATATTTGATTTATGATTGATTAATTATGTGAAGCTGGTTATACTTTTATTTCCTCTTTGTAGTCAATATTTCTTAGTTGATGTTACTCGTTTCACACTTGGAGTTTCAACACTATTTAAATTTATAAAACGGCTAATTAAATACCTAGTTAAAACATTCAAAGACGTTAAGTTAAGATAATTAATATCACAGTTTCACATTTCATTCCATATAAATAAGCAAGGATCTTATTGTTGTTCATCAATCAAAAACAATCAGAGCATTAAGCATATATTTGAGATTTGGCTATACTAAGGCTTTTTTACTCAATTTTTCATTATGTCTATCAAAAATGTGCTTTCACTCATAGCAGTTCTATGCATCATAGTTTCTGTAAATGCTCAATTGCCACAGTTTCCGGCTCCGTTTTCTTTTCCATTTCCGTTCCAACCGATTTCTGGTATGCCAGGATTACCTGATTTAACAAAATGTTTGTCATCCGTGATGGATATTCCTGGATGCATTGCAGAGATTTCTCAATCCATTTTCACTGGAAAATTCGGTAATTTAGGTCCGGCTTGTTGCAAAGCATTTTTGGACGCCGAAGACAATTGCATACCGAAAATTCTATTCATTCGGTTTTTCCCTCCGATACTAAAGGAACAATGTTCAAGAATTGTCGGTGCAACTCCTCCGACACCAAAATAGAGTTTTAATTTATTTTAAAGATTATGATTTTTTTTCAACTTATTTCTTAAAATTTTAGCTTACTCTACATGTTATACTCCAAAGAAAAAACAATGATACAGTGATAACATTTGAGAAGTTGTATTTGGGTTCAATATTTACTCATTCTTCAATTCTAATGAATAACACCTTAAACATCAAGTCCATAATTAATTTAGTCTTGCAATGTTTCAGATTTTCATAAATCTTTTAAACATGTGTAACACAAAATCTGCGAACAACTAATAACTTTACTAGATAAGGTCCGTCTAAATAGCTGGGTATGAGAAATAAACTATTTTTTTTTTAATCTATCTTTTCAAAAGCCAATTTACAATCTTACACTTTTTATTTTTGCAATAAAATTTAACTATTTATAACACGTCTTTACTAATTATATATAATAAGGTATTTCTCAAAGTGCAACAAAAAGATAAGGAAAGGACAAGAGACTGCAGCAAGAAAAAGACGGACCAAGCGTAGCCAGAGAATGTGGCAAACAAATTGAACTAAGAAAGAAGAAAATTAAATTAAATTAAAAAAATACAAGGATAAACATATTGAAGTTACAGTTTTCAAAAAACATATATAAGGTACAAAATTAGAAAATATTAAAACATGTATTAATATTTTTTAAAAACAAAATAGGGAACTTTCACTTCTATTTTGAATATATTAACAATTTTTAATAGAATTAATTAGTTTGATATATTAAATAAAAAATTTTAATATATAAACAAAAAATTTTGATTTATGTATATATTTCCTTTTCCCGATAGGGTTAGAAAATATTTTTCTACTTTTGTTTTTAAATATATCAAAATTAGGTTTGATATATGTAGATATCTCGTTAATAAATTTAACACATGTCGCGTTCACGTGAATTACTAATTTTGTCAACTTTATATAATAAGACGGCAAAAAACGCTGGTTTAAATTTTAGCCCTTCAGTTTTTTTATTAAGCCAAATTTAACCATTTATTGGCCTCATAACTGCGTTATTAAGAATGTTTTTAAAAAAATTGTAATATTTCAATGAAAATTAAGAAATGCTTCAAAATTGAGGATTTATATTCAATAGAAAACACACTCGTTCACAAAATGCATAGTAGACCAAAAGAAAGATCACCAACACCAAGTGTGTTTCTCGGATAAACACATGGAATCCAGCCATTACTTAAACCACACGTGTACGCTCAAGATTTGATTATTGCACACGTAACCGATCCTCTGACAAAAACCATAACGAATCCCAAAAACACACGAATACACTTCTCCGCGCTATAAATAAGCTAGCTCAGAAAATTTAACAGATAGAGACAAGACAAACAAAGCAACACTTTCACTAATCCTCTTATGGCCGAAGAGAAGACCTTGAAGAAGACTCCGGCGGCGAAGAAGCCGCGAAAACCGAAAACCACCACTCATCCTCCATACTTTCAGGTGAGTTTTTCTTTTGAGTTCTAACTCTTTCTTTCGAGTTCTGTCTATTAAACTTGGTTTGTTTTTGTTCTTGTTTTTGATGAAGATGATAAAAGAGGCTTTGATGGCTCTTAAAGAGAAGAACGGATCAAGCCCTTACGCTATAGCTAAGAAGATAGAGGAGAAACACAAGTCTTTACTTCCAGAGAGTTTCCGTAAAATACTTTCTCTACAGCTTAAAAACTCTGTCGCGAAAGGTAAGCTCGTGAAGATCAGAGCCTCTTACAAGCTCTCAGATACCACCAAAATGACAACGAGGCTACAAGACAAGAAGAATAAGAAGAATATGAAGCAAGAAGATAAAGAGATCACAAAGAGGACTAGGTCTTCTTCGACAAGGTCCAAGAAGAGTATGTCTGTGAACAAACAAGAAAAGATGAGGAAAGCGAAGAAGGCGAGACAGCCTAAGTCCATCAAATCTTCAGCTGGTAAGAAGGCCATGAAAGCTTCCGCTGCTTGATCACTGAGGAGGAGGAGAAGAAGAAGAAACTGTGTGTGAATATGAAGAATAAGGTTTTTTTTTTAGTATCTGTAAATGGTTTGGTGTGGTCTCTTTTTGGTTTAAGAGTAAAGAGTCTTCGGATGTATAACTAGTACTACCATGTAATATACTCGAAATAGGTTTTTGCTCCGGTTGAGCTAAAATTTGTTCAAATAATCCGAGAAACAAAGGCAGAACCAAATTCGAGTAAATTTGGGGTTAACTAAAGCTAATCATTGTTGTAAACCACATAACGGATGGACTCCATAACCGTGGCCCATGTCCATGTTCTAGAAGGTCCATGTCTAGCTTTTAGAAGACTCGCCCAATGACGGTTTATGTTAGTCTTAGTGGGCTTTGTGCTTTAGGGTTTCCTAGTCCAATTGGGATTTGTCTCCCTTATTGTGTATATATAAGTTGTAACCTCATTCATTAATCAAGAGAATACACGAGATTCATAACACGTTATCAGCACGATAGCCTCTAAATCCCTTAGCTAAAGATCTGACACATAAACCCTAATCTCACGATCTCTCTATCTCCATCAAACCCCTAAAACGCAAAGAAATATGCCTCGGAACTTCAAAGAGGTCGTTCTCTCAAATCGTGAGGACCCAGAAAACGAGCAAGATACCAAATCGAAGCCCTCGCCGAGACGAATCCATCAGTGCAAACGGCTTGTCGATCTGACCACCGACGCGCCCTCACGCACAGATACAGTGTGCGCCGATTTGTTTTGAAAACCCTAGCTAGCTCGTCCGTCCGTTTGCTTTCTCCTTTGCTCGGCGATTCCTTCCAAGGACCATACGCTCATGACAAGTTGATAACCGAGTTCTTTAGCTCCCGGTTCTAGTCCGTACAACCCCATAAGGTGAAAGGTAACATCAAAACCCTAAAGCTAAAGAACCAACAATCGAACTTGAAAGTTAAACAAAGAGAAACTCTAAAAACGAACCTTGCTTGATAAGCAATTGTTATTTCCTTGGATGATCCGATTGCTTGACTCGTTTAAGTTGCTAGAAAAGTTATTATTGCTTAATCTCAAACTTGCAAACTCGAAAACACTTAGCCATGACCAAAACTTTTAAGACCCTAAATCGAATTGGAAACCTAAAACCCTAAAATATAATCGATTGATTAAGGTTGTTTAGGTTGTTAGATTGATTGTTTCTTTGATTGATTACATGCATAAGTTGTTAGAAACCCTAAAACTAAATTCGCATAAACCCTAGAAACCTTAGAAAAGATAATCCTATTGTAAATCTTAAAACCCTAAATCCCTAATTAAAATAGGAAAATCAAAAATCCTATTGTAAATAGGAAAATCCTTAATTGAGTTAATTCTATTCAAAATAGAAAATTTCCAAATCCTAAATAAAATAGGAAATCTTAAAAATCTAAAATCATAAGTGAAATAGGAAAAGTTAATCCTAATTAAAAGAGGAAATTTTAAAACCTTAAAACCCTAATTAAAATATGAAATCTTAAAACCCTAAAATACTTATTAAAATAGGAAATCTTAAAACCCTAAATTCCTAATTAAAATAGGAAATCTTAAAACCCTAAAATCCTAATTAAAATAGGAAATCTTAAAACCTAAAATCCTAATTAAAATAGGAAATCTTAAAACCCTAAAATCCTAATTAAAATAGGAAATCTTAAAACCCTAAAATCCTAATTAAAATAGGAAATCTTAAAACCCTAAAATCCTAATTAAAATAGGAAATCTTAAAATCCTAAAATCCTAATTAAATTAAGAAATTCCTAAAACCTATTCAAGATAGGAAAACCTTAAGAAATAGAAAAATTTCTAAATCCTAATCAAAAAAGAAATCTTAAAAATCTTAAATCCTAAGTAAAATAGGAAAACCCTAATCCTAAGCAAAAGAGGAAATTTAATCCTAAAAGGAAAAGGAAAAGTCAAATCTCTAAGTAAAATCGATTCATGGTTCGGTCTTAAATACCGCATGACATTAACGATTACATGATTTTGATTTAAACCTCTTTTCCTTGTAGATGTTGAATTACAACTTGTATTTTACTGCCCTAAATCTCTTAAGAGATAATTATTTAAAATGGGCAATGGATACTAAGATTATCCTAAAATTCAAAAGGACTTGGTGAATGTATCTAATAAGGCAATAATGTCAAGAAAGAAAGATAGATACAAGGCAATATTAGCCACCATCTTATTGAGAGTCTCATAATCCAGGACTATAAGTCCGTGGATGAGTCTATTGCTAGATGAGCAAAATAATGACTTACTGATAAAAACAGTGAATTACGACCTCATAGATTAACCGCATTACCTGATGCCAATAAGGCCGCAGAGGATAAGAAAGAATCCAAAGAATCTAACCACGTCTAAAGTAATAGACCACACGGCCGTAGCCGTAGTGGATGGAAAGGACGTGATTGTGGCCACTATAACTCATCCGGCCGTGGGAACCACTATAACCGTGGATGTAGACCCAATTCCGGCCGTGGTCGAGGGCGAGGACGATGTGGTATTTCCAAACCACAACACTCGACCAAATGAGTATGCCATAGATGTGGAATGGGGAACTATTGGGCTAAGATATGTAGGACTTCCAAACATCGTTGTGACCTCTATCAAGAGAGTGTGAAAAGGAAGAATCCTAAAGCCCATTTGGTATATAAAGATGGTGAACATGATCAAGATGATCTAATAGAGTGTGAGACTTTTGATTGCCTAAAAGAATCAAGTTGATAAATCTGAGTTCGACATCAAAACCTCTACGCTTTCTTTGCATTTTATGTTTTCATTGATTGTTATTTCCTTGAATTTATTTTATATTATTTTATGTTTAAAACATGATTCTTGTCCATATAAGAAATGGCCGAGGACAAGAACATATTTGTGGTGGATAGTGGAGCCACACAAAAGATAAGAGATATTTTCCTAAATCTCATAATGAAAAAATGCCAATATTAGCACTATAGCGGGTATAGCAAATCTTATTGAGTGCTACGGCCAAGCCCATATTCTATTACCAAATGGCACGCATCTTGAACTAAGCGATGCCTTATATTCACCCAGCTCAAAGAGGAGCTTATTAAGTTTCAAAGATATAAGATTGAATGGTTTCCATATTGAAACAAAGGGTGAAGGGAACAAAGAATTCCTAAATATAATTGAGATCACCCAAGGACATAAGAAAGTCCTAGAGACTATACCCGCATTATCCACTGGTCTCTACTATGCTAAAATCGATATGATCGAAGCTAATATGGCAATGAACAAAGAGTTCATCGAGAAATTCACTTTATGGAATGACCGGCTTGGCCATCCGGGTCATAGTATGATGCGTAAACTAATAACTAATTCAAAGGGGCACACCCTAAAAGAGAAAAGAGTTATCCCTAAGAATCTCACGTGTGAAGCATGTTCACAAGGGAAACTCATTATAAGGCCATCACCGGCTAAGGTAAATATAGAAACCTTAAACTTTCTGGAAAGGATACAAGGAGATATATGTAGACCAATACACCCACCATGTGGGACATTTAGATATTACATGGTCCTCATTGATGCATCGACAAGATGGTCGCATGTTTGTTTATTATCCTCTAGAAACCAAGCGTTTGCTAGGTTGTTGGCCCAGATCATAAGACTGAGAGCCCATTTTCCAGATTTTCCGCTTAAGACTATACGTCTAGATAATGCCGGTGAATTAACGTCCCAAGCGTTTAATAACTACTGTATGTCCATGGGGGTAAGTGTGGAACATCCCGTGGCACATGTACATACACAGAATGGATTAGCGGAATCCTTCATTAAACGAATTCAATTGATAGTTCGACCATTACTCATGAGGTCGAAGCTTCCAGTAGCCGCTTGGGGACACGCTGTTTTACATGCATCAGAGCTTATACGCATAAGGCCATCTAGTGAACATAAATATTCACCATCCCAATTACTCATGGGTCATGAGCCAGACATATCCCATCTAAAGACTTTCGGGTGTGCCGTATATGTACTGATTGCTCCACCACATAGAACAAAGATGGGACCTAAAAGGAGGATGGGAATATATGTTGGATTTGATTCTCCCACCATTATTAAATATCTAGAGCCAACTACGGGTGATCTATTTAAGGCTAGATACGCGGATTGTCATTTTAATGAATCCGAGTTTCCTACTTTAGGTGGAGAGACGAACAAGCTTAAATTAGCAAGATCCTCGGACTCTGGCATGAGAATCAGAGGTCCATAATTATACATTTGAAAAGCTAGCTAATCAATTGCCAGATTCCTTTGCTGACCCAAAAGAAAGTTACAAAATCGTACATACCAGCTTGTAATGCACCAGTACGAATTGATGTCCAAAAGGGACTTAGTCAAGTTGCTACAGAGTCTAGACAACGTATGAGACGTGGTAGACCAATAAGTTCCAATGATAAAAACCCTCGGAAATTAAATAAAGGTGCAATAGGAATCCGAGGTTACTAAGGAAACTATCCCAGACATAGAGATAAGGCCGGCCGGCTCTAAGGTACATGTACCATATAATGTAGCTTGGGACGCCAAGCTGCAAAGTATTAAAGGTCCTGACCATAATAAATCTCAAATTGATTATATCATGTCTGGAACATAATGGAACATATAAGAAATGTCGACATAAGATTATATTGCATGCAAGGTAGCACTTGAATTTATGAATATAAATGAGGATCATGAGCCCACGTCTATACTAGAGTGCACTCAAAGACTTGATTGATTAAATGGTACAAGACCATAAAACGTGGAGCTAAGAATCATTAAGAAAAGGAATGAGTTTGGTCCGACCTTAAGGACACCATTCGATGTAAAAACCAGTAGGACACAAATGGGTCTTTGTGAAGAAGAGAAATGAGAATAATGAAATCGTGAGATATAAGGCACGGCTTATAGCACAAGGATTCTCACAAAGACCGGGGATAGATTATGAAGAAACATACTCCCCTGTGGTGGATGCTAAATCTGGCTATATAAAGGAAAAGATTTGATTTGCGGCTAATGGATGTAATGCCTGCATATTTATATAAGTCCACCGGATAATATATATGAGATTACCAGAGGGTATTGAGCTCAAAGATAAGAAAGATTCTCGAGAATATCACTGCATAAGGCTGGACAAATCTTTTCATGGACTTAGACCAAATGGGCGTATGGAATGTTATAAATGATCCCATTAGTCCATGTATTTTCATAAAGAGGTTTGCAAACAAAGGATTTGTAATCATAGCAGTGTATATGAATAATTTAAACCTCTGGGTAATCGACCAAACAGTTGAGTATATCTAAAAGAAAGACCTAGGCAATAATTAAGTTCTGTTTGAGATTACAACCTGAGTACATGAATAATGGAATCCTTGTGCATCAAAAGGCATATACTGAAAAGTACTCAAGGATATTTAATAAGGACCAGGCCCGCCCATTGACCAGGCCCAATGGTGGTGAGAAGCCTTGGATTGGATAGTGATCCATTTGGTCCAAAGAAGGACGAGGAAGAAGTTCTCGGTCCTGAAGTGCCATACCTCAGTGTCATAGGAGTGTTAATGTACTTGGCTAGCCACACTAGACCAGACATATGTTTTGCCGTGAACCTCCTTTGTCTAAATTTAGTTTATGATCAACCCAAAGGCACTGGAAAGGTTTGAAGGAAGGTTTGGTTAAATTTTAAAGTTTATTCTTCCTACTTTGTTTATTTGGGTTTTATTCTATACTGATCTAACCAAAGAAGGTCTAGTTTGCTTTGGTTTAGTTTGTTTTGCTAATGCAGGTAAGATCAGATTATGACATGGCCAATAAATAGGAACTACGTGTGGCTTGATCCTTTCCAAGGGTACGTAGGCAGCCTTCTTCAAGGCGCATCTACTACAACATCAAAGATCATCATATGTGAAGACAACGTAGCCATGTATCGCTCAGCTCAAGGACGGCTACAAAAGGATGGTGAAGTTCAAGTGGTGCAAGTTCGTTCAAGCAACAACTTAGCCGATCTCTTCACTAAAGCACTACCGACAACAACATTAAGGAAGCTCACGCATCAAATTGGAATGCGGAGACTTAAGGACTTGTAGGGATGACCAAAACAGGGGGAGTAATGCGTGCTGTACTCTTTTTCCTTCACCGTTATTTTGTCCCAATGGGTTTTCCTGGTAAGGTTTTAATGAGGCAGCATTCCCAAGCGCATTACAAAGATCCTTTGGCATCTACACGGTTATGTCATCCAAGGGAGAGTGTTGTAAACCACATAACGGATGGACTCCATAACCGTGGCCCATGTCCATGTTCTAGAAGGCCCATGTCCATGTTCTAGAAGGTCCATGTCTAGCTTTTAGAAGACTCGCCCAATAACGGTTTATGTTAGTCTTAATGGGCTTTGGGCTTTAGGGTTTCCTAGTCCAATTGGGATTTGTCTCCCTTATTGTGTATATATAAGTTGTAACCTCATTCATTAATCAAGAGAATACGCGAGATTCATAACAATCATATATTTTAAATCGTTGAATTGAATATAAAAAGGCTTGATACTTATGTATGAATAAGATGAGGCCTTAAGACTTTTGAAACGGCCCAATTTGGGGGTTATACTAAGCCCATACGGTAGTTCACTTATCAATGGGTAGTGTGTACTACGGTAGTTCACTTATGAACTCTTTGGGAGTGAAAAAGGGAGGCCATAATATGGTTGATTAGAAAGTTTTGTTTTTCTTGGTGATTTGTCGCAATTAAAAAGTCGTTAATTATTTCCAAATCAACAATCAATCATATAAATTAATTAGCTACTTTCTTTTTAGAAAACAATAAACGTGGAATGTTCCCATTCCTAACATATATTTCTCTCTTAAAACTATTTTTAATATCCACCGTACGTTTTCCTTATGAAAAATCATCTCTAGTAATTTTCCTCGTGGAAAAAGTTGCATGAGATGTGAGAACCAACATCTAACACTTATTAGTTATTATATAAATTAAATTTCGAAGTGAATAAAGATTTTTAAAAAGATTGATATGAGATGAAATAAAGTTTTAAATTGAAGACTCTTGCTCCCAAAGTCTCGTTAGTGTTGTGGACGACAAAGCATGCCCAACGGAGCCCCGTTGTGCACACCGCACGCTCGACATCTCCTTACCCCACAACAATGATTTCTAATTCTGATTCCTAATTATACTTAAATTAGTTGCTCCTTTAATCATCTCTATAAGACTGACTAACTTTAAATTAGAAAACCACAAAATTCATACCGTCAGGGCGTAACAATAACTCTACCCTAGTCACTCAAACTCGAATATAGATAGTACGTAACGTAATATACATTCATATCCTCACTCATTCACAACCCTAACGCATTCTTTTCATAAAACTAGATATGGTAACCATATATATATATATATCTTTTTAAAATAAGTTATACTGTTAATTAATAATTTCATATTAAGTTTAAGGCAACGTACCAACACATCTCACCATGGCATCTAGCCATCTATGTAGTTCATTCAATTATCAAATACGCAAATCCCAATATCATAATCCGAGTTTGTACTCAAGAACTCACTGATGAACCTGTTCTCTTCTTCTCTCTCGTTCAAAAACATCGACGAATCAATCTCCACATCATTCTTGTTTTTATCTTCATTAGCTATATGATGACCTGCGAAACCTGAAGTTCCATTATCTTCTTGGCTCATAAGTTGTGAAGCAACAAACTTATCTAACTCTCTCCAATCTCCCGTCATCATTACTTGCTTTTTCTTCTTTCTTTTATTCTCTCGGCTTATTAATGACTCGAAGCTTTCTTCATCCTCTGATGGGGTTTTGTAGTTACAATGGTTGTCCATTGATGTTATGGACATCGAGCTCGAAGGCCTTTTCATCAGCGGGAGAGAAGGACTTTGGAGTTGCGGGAGCTGAATGAATTGATTTGATTGCATATAGTTTAGACCGTCAACCATTCCTTCTAGTTCTTGCTTACACATCAAACCTTTTCCAAAAAGTTTATGTTGCTGCTTAGATATGTAATCAATCGGGTCCGTAAACGAGTTAACGCCATTCGATGCGACTTCATCATAGAAGTAACTTGAGGTCCAAGTTTCCGTGTTCTTGGCTTGCCCGGTAGCTCTTTTCTTGAATGCTCTACAAACCACCCATCCTTCTTCCTAAAAAAACGAAGATGCACACAAATGATCATAAGAAGACATAACATGTGAATAGAAACTTTCGCTTGTTTTGATGTTTCAAAAAATTGGTAAAGCATCATATTATCCGTAAGGCCAATGCAAACAAAAAGATGGAGAAAAGGCAGTTAAATTTTAGTGAAACACACATAAGGACATGCTTGAAAAGTGTGAGACCAAAAATAAGAAAGCTAGTGAAATCTTTAGGTACGTACTCATGCAATCTAATAGAGTTTCACTTTTGAACTTTATTGACTTTAAGATATTGGAAAAACAAGCACACAACTATAATTCATAAACAATATATATTACAAACATATATATAGATCAATGTTTATAGAGGAAATTTCTAGCGTACCAATATATATGCTATAGATAAATACAAAAGGTAACAATTTATAATTGTTATAATTTATAAACGAGACAAAGTTTTACACGTTTACTACTTCAAAAGGAAATGTGATTGAACTTCTTTTTTTTTTGTAGTGGAAAACTGTAAATTCTGCATTGACTGAAATTATATACGAGTTTAGGAGAGACTTTTTACTTCCTTTTTTCTTTTCTGATTGAATATGTGTATTATCCTACATGAGTTATATACGTAATGGAATTTCACCTAAAAGTTAGCATGTGCCTCACAAAAGAGCCAAAGAGACAAGAAGCCCTAATTAAAACAAAAATGTTTTGTCCCCACCAAAGTAGAAACACAAGTACCAGCCCCATGGAAGTTTGTATAAAAAGAGGACATGAAAAAGGGTGAAAAGATGAATATGAAACTTAACAATTTATCATATGATTAATCTTGATTAATAAGGTCAATCCATCAAATTGAAAATGATTTAATTATATGAAATCATTAAACAATATACCTGGGGCGGTGCATTCTCATCTGACTCGAGCCGGTACTCATGCATGATCCAATCGGATTTCTGGCCATTAGGAGCACGTCCTTTGTAATACACAAGTGTTTTCCTCATTCCAATTAGTTTTGTTTTGTCGTAAACAGCTTTGTCTCTTCCCGTGGCTTTCCAAAATCCAGCCATGGTCGCTCTATTAGTTCTTGTCCCCGTTGGATATTTTTTGTCCTTGTGACTAAAAAAATACCATTCATTTTGCTCTTCATATCCGATTCGACATTGCTCTGTAACATAAAATTTAAGGTGATGATAAAATCATGATCAAGTTTATAAATATGAAAAGCCTAACTTAAGTAATTGAAAAAGCTCTGAGTGTTTTGTAAGTAACCTTGTAGATCCCATGGTTCGATTCTGTAGAGATCAATGTCTCTGATCACATCGAGATCAATCTTTTGCGATGCGATTTTCTTCCTTAGATAGTAACCGACAAGCTCTTCGTCAGTCGGATGGAACCTGAATCCAGGAGGAACGCTACAAGATTCCATTGACTCCATTATTTCTACACCAAGAAAATTAAATACTGGAATGATCAATAATATAAATATACATGTACGGAAATATGCTCTTATTTACGTATTTGCTTGTATATAATTTTTGAGATCACAACATATGATTCTAGAAGATTTTAAATGAATGGTAATATGGGATAGTGGAAGGCGATATATAAGAGCTATAATGAAAAACATAAGCTAAATTTTGTAGAGAACAATAAGAAGAATTGAAGAAATACAATTATCATTTATAGAGTACTATTTAACAAAATCATTTATAATGTACTCGATCGATAGATAGTTGACAAAAAGTTATGAGAAATATATAATCATATGTAAGCTCATTTCGTGGTGAATTTCCACTTGATCACCATTCAATTAATTTATCTCATGACATGTGATTTATGATCAAGAACTTACATAAATTTATTAATCTATATACATACATACCTAAAAAGATATTTACATGTATGAAATTTAGGTTTTGAGTTGAAGAAATCAAGATGAGATGCGATCATAACAAACGGACATGGGGAGTTTACTAATGATGCTGTCATGTTGTACATTGTTAGTAAATGGAGGCAATGATCATGAAGAACGGCGTTCTTCTCAAAACTCTTTTATATTAAAATAAAATTGAAATCAATCTATTATAATGATTAATATACTTAAGGATAACCCTAGCATTATACAAACAAAAAACAGCTTGTTCATCCAAAAAAAATATAGGGGACGATCCAAACCTATAAATTCATAAGAACCCATGTTTCTTTGTTTATAAGAAATCAGTTTTTTGCCCAAAAAAAAAAAAAAAGAAAAATAAATCAGTTTAATTTAAATCGAATATATATATATATATATATATATCATATCTCTCCTTTTCTTGCTGCAGATTCAACTTAAAACGACAGAAGGATTATAATGTTTTAACGGTCCTGATCGTTAAACATTTTACAAATATGAATCTAGGATCGATTGATCATTAATGCCATCTTTTGATCAAAATATGTAGGGAAAGCTACATATATAAAACCAGATAACATAAAAAAAAAACATGATCAAAAATAGAAATTAGTGATGCTCAAAAGTTACAAATAATCCACAAACGAAGTCCAAAGAACACACATAATTAACAAAAAGAAAAAGAGCACACATACGTATAAGTAATATGTGTTTGAAATCCACTCGTTAATAATATTAGGGTTACCTTCGAGTATGTGACGGAAACAAAAACAAAACCTAGGAAGATCAATGGTGGTGAGAACAACTTAATTATCAATATGGGAGCTAGAAAGAAGAGAGCAGTGGTGAAGAGAAGAAGAAGAAGAAGAGGACTGAATTAAGGAGAAAGACGATCCGATTTGGTGAATATAAAGGTGAGGAGGAGAGAGTGTGGACCGCTCCATTGCGCGTGGCCTTCACCATGTCCCCATTCATTTACATCACACTCTCCTCTTGTTTATTTCTATTTTTTTTTTCTCTTTTTTAGCTTCCCCTGTTTTATTTATTTATGTACTCTCATTTTCTTTTCTTTTCTTACCTAACGCATGTATATATTTATGAATTAACCTAAATCCTCAATCTAAAGAGTTATATATGAGTTGGTTGTTATATGCTTAATAAGATTAGATGATTCTGATTTAGAGTCGCAAAAAATGTGAGCACTGTAATTATGGTTTGATTTATACCATAATTAATCAATAGATATATAATATATAGTAAAATTTCTATAAATTAATAGTCGATAAACTAATAAGCGGTAGAAAGCAGATGTGATGGGAGAGAGAGAGAGAAGAGAATGTTGCAAATCATGAATTTGTAGCGGCAAAAAATGGATGTAACGTTCATGATGATTATTTTAAATTGTGTGTAATTTTTTGATGTTAATAATATATTTTTTTTGAAGATCAGATTTTGGATCTAAGTCCATACAACTAGTATCAGAATAAGTTGTTTGAGTTGCGATTCAGGAAACAATGAGAAGAGAAAATGGTTCGATGCATAGTATTTGCAAGTTCGATAGAACATTTCACTTTTATCAGATTTTTTATATATTATATAGTTTGCTTTGAAATTTTTGTAATTAAATTTCACCTTTATTTTTGGAAGATTTCTAAAATTATATCCTAAAGATATTTTAGATAATGATTTTTTTTTATCTAATGGTTGACCAATGGTTAATTAATGTTTCTACACAAATATGAGATTCGATTATTAAAAATGATAAATTATTGCAGACTAATGGAAGCAAGCCTATCAGAGATTTAGCGGTGTGCAAATAGAATTATTGTGATTTAGTAATAGATTTACAATATATTATGAAGAATAAAAAAGTTATTGAATAACTTTTTCATTAATCATAGTTTGCATCTGTAGATGTTCTGGCTTTTAGAATGATCTTTGATTGACAAATAAGCTAAAACCTCTTTTTGTAATTATGTAGTTTAAAGGTAATTAATTATGTCAAAACCAATTACAGTGTATTTAATTTTAGAAGATACGGTTTAGTTTAATAATAAATTTTCTTGGAATTTTTTTTCATAATTATTTGAAAAACATAAATGTTAAAAGATGCATGCAGCTTCTAATGAAATAAGTTGTTATAAGCGAAAATATTCAAATCTAACAATGAAATGATAAAGTACAACCCTAATAAACGGTTCTGTGCAGAAAGTTATGAAAAAAACCCTTCTTCCTTCTATAAAATCTCGTCGTCCACTTTGGTTTAAGTTTGCTAGAGACTAGAGAAATATAAAGAATATCCAAACACAAAGAAAAAAAAGTGAGAAACTTTAGAAAAGCTAATGGAACCGATCGAGTACAATGTTTTTGAGTCCTCTAAATGTAACTCCCACGACGACGACCATGGATGGAAGAAAGTCGTGTCCCGGAAGCGCAACCTGAAGCAAAAACCAGCGGATGAAGAGGCCAATGGAAACCAACCTACCGGCGAGAACGTCAATGTGGAGGCGATGAATGAGAATCAGAAGGCAAAGAAAACTAAAAAGTCAAAACCCAAGAAAGAGATGAAGCCTATAGTGCCTTTTTCCGAAGCTGCGGCAAAGATCGATCCTTCACATCTTGCGGCTTACCTCGTCGAAATATCGGTAAGTCAGTGCATGCATGCGATGTGAAATTCTCATCTAAAATGGATAATATACGAATCAAAATTCATATTTTGTTGTTTTGTTTGGTTATAGAAAACATATGCGTATGAGCCGGAGGTTTAACTATTGAGATTTATCTATTACTTTGAGAGAGAGACTTCCGGAGTGCAATTTCCATGGTCAAAGATTCTCAAAGAGTCTCCTTTGCGCAAGCTGATCGATGTGATCGATGTTCCTTTTATTAACATATATGTATAATGGTTATTGTTAGAGTAAAGTTTCCTTTAGCTTACTCTAAGTGTATATAAGGAACATGTGTATCAACATTCTAATCAAGAAGATTAATATCATATTTTTACACTCTCTCTCTAGTTAATATGGTATCAGAGCAAAAATGAGATTTTCTCTCTCTATAACAGAAATCTCAAAGCTTCTTCCGCAATATCATCATCTTCTTCTTCTTCTTCTTCGATTTCAGCTCAAATCAATGAAATCACCATCGTTATCATCCTAAATCTTCCATTTCTAGTTTCGTCGAGCTCCAATTTCATCAATGGAGATCTCGATTTCATCATAATCGCAATCTGTTTCGCGAATCATTTTTCCATTCATCACAGAAGCAATTGCTCTAAATCTCTTTCTGATCGATTCGTCTATCTGAATGAGTCATATGAGTCTACAAGGAGACACATCTTGATGTTAAAACCGATTCCAACTATTGAGGATGCCTTTAATATGGTGACTCAGGATGAAAGACAGAGAAGTATTAAGCCTTCTACATCAGAACCTGTAGTTTTTCAAACTTCAGGATCAAATCAAGCATCTGGATCATCCAACCATTATTCTCAAGATGTTTCTTCATATCAAGGTCAGCTGGATAATACAGCTTTTGCTATTCAGAATGGATATCGTCCTCGTGCACCACGACCTATCTGTACTCACTGTGGTCAAACTGGTCACGTTATACAAAAATGCTTTAAGCTTCATGGATATCCTCCCGGCTACATTCCAGGATTTAAGAGCACTTTCTCTAACTATCAACCTCAGAGATCATCTGCTCCATCTAATTTCCAGCCTAGAGGATATTCTCCAAACACTGTCTCTAGACCTCATTCAGTTGCCAATGTGATGACTAGTCCTATTCCCTACACTCCACCATCAGCAATAGATGCTATGAATTTGGATATTAGCAAGCTGAATGGAGATCAAATTCAGACATTGATTCAACAACTCTCAAGTCATATTCAAGTTTCAGAGCCTTTGGCACCTTCCCCATCCACATCAAAAGTCACAGAGCATGGTATAATGGTTGTTCAATCATCATCGGGTATAATTCCTTTTCCTTCTTCATCTCTTCGATATGAAAATGATCAATTAACATTCCAACATCAATGTCTCTCATCTTTATACTCTAATCTTCCTCATGGTAGTTGGATTATAGATAGTGGTGCTACTACACATGTGTGTTCTGACTTAGCAATGTTTGGTGAAACTACTACAGTTTCTGGAGTAACTGTTTCACTTCCTAATGACACTAGAGTAAATATCACACACACGGGCACAATATCACTATCTCATTCACTCATTCTTCATGATGTTTTACATGTTCCTTCATTCAAATTCAATTTGATTTCTGTGAGTAGTCTTTTAAAAACAAATCATTGCTCTGCTCATTTTTATGTTGATTCTTGTATAATTCAGGAGTTTATTCAGGGCTTGACGATTGGTAGAGGCATACTTCTGCATAATCTCTACATATTACAACTTGATGCACCTTCTACTCATGATGAATTCTCTGGATCCTTGATGGCTGATGGAATTCTTTGGCATCAACGCCTTGGACACCCATCTGCTGACAAGTTACAATGCATTTCTGGTACTCTTTCTTTGTCTAAGTCTGCTTTTAAACATCCATCTCATTGTTCCATCTGTCACTTAGCAAAACAAAAAAGATTGTCTTATGAGTCTCATAATCATTTGTCTTCACTTCCATTTGATCTAATTCATTTAGATGTGTGGGGTCCTTTCTCTATAGAGTCTGTAGAAGGATATAAATACTTTCTTACAATAGTTGATGATTGTACACGTGTAACATGGGTTTATATGATGAAGAATAAAAGTGAAGTTACACAACATTTCTTATCTTTTATTAAGCATGTTCTTACACAATATAAAGCTGTCATTAAAATGATTAGAACTGATAATGCTCCTGAGCTTGCATTTACTTCTATTGTTAAAGAACATGGAATGATACATCAATTCTCTTGTGCATACACACCTCAACAAAATTCTGTAGTAGAACGCAAGCATCAACATTTACTAAATGTTGCAAGATCATTGTTGTTTCAATCGAATGTTCCTATTGCATATTGGAGTGATTGCTTGTTAACTGCTGTTTTCCTTATAAATCGTTTACCATCTGTTTTACTCAAAAATGTATCACCATATGAACTTCTTACAAAAAGAAAACCTACTTATGATTTTTTAAAATGTTTTGGCTGTCTCTGTTATGTTTCCACTTTACAAAAAGATAGAACAAAGTTTACTCCTCGTTCAGAAAAATGTGTTTTCTTAGGTTACTCTTCTGGATATAAAGGGTATAAAGTACTTCATCTTGAATCTAACATTGTTTCGGTGTCTAGAAATGTTATATTCCATGAAACTATTTTCCCTTTTCATGATAATCCAGCATCTTCAAATTCTGAGATTTTTAGTAACACTATTTTACCATTACCTATTCATCTTCATAATGATTTGCAAGATAATATGCATGCTTCATCTAGTCAATCATCATTGCCTAATGATCATTCAGCTGCATCATCTACATTACCATCATCACTTACACACTCTAGTGTCACACCTATTTCACAAGAAACAGTTACAACAGAGACTGCTGTTGTTTCACTTCCTGTTGCTCGGCCAAAACGCACAGGTAAGGCTCCTAGCTACTTAACTGATTACCACTGTTCTTTCACACAAATTTCTTCTCCACCTAAAAAATCTTTCCCTCCACTCAAAGTCTTTACCACACCATATCCCATTTCTTCTGTTTTATCCTACTCTGCCTTAAAATCCCCATATCAGGCTTTTACTCTTTCTTACTCCATTGAAACAGAACCCAAAACCTTTAAACAAGCTATTGTATCTGTGCAATGGACTAAAGCGATGGATGTGGAACTTGAGGCTATGGAATTGAATAAAACTTGGAGTGTTGTCTCTTTGCCTCCAGGGAAGAATGTTGTTGGGTGTAAGTGGGTTTACACGATTAAATACAATCCTGATGGTACTGTTGAAAGGTACAAGGCGCGTTTAGTAGCAAAGGGATTCACTCAGCAAGAAGGAGTGGATTATTTTGACACTTTCTCACCAGTTGCTAAATTGGCCAGTGTCAAATTAATACTTGGTTTAGCTTCTAAGAAGGCTTGGAGCTTAACTCAGATGGATGTTACTAACGCTTTCTTGCATAGTGAGCTTGATGAAGAAATTTATATGAGTTTGCCGCAGGGTTATACACCAGTTTCTGGTTCTCTTCCTCCTAATCCAGTCTGCAAGCTTCATAAGTCCATCTATGGATTGAAACAGGCGTCTCGTCAATGGTATAAGTGTCTTTCTAAAGCACTTTTGGATGCAGGATTCATTCAATCTCACTCAGATGAAACACTGTTTGTCAGGCTGCAAGGTACATCATTCATTGCCATTCTTGTGTATGTTGATGACATTCTCATTGTCAGTAATGATAATGAGCATGTTACTTCAGTAAAAGCACATCTTGCAGATCATTTTAAGATAAAAGATCTAGGTCAGGCTAGATTCTTTCTTGGTCTTGAGATTGCTAGGAATTCAGAAGGCATCTCTGTTTGTCAAAGGAAATATTGCCTGGACCTTCTTACTGATGCAGGATTATTGGGCTGTAAACCTCGTTCTGTACCTATGGATCCAAAAGTTTCTCTAACAACAGAGACTGGTACATTACTTGAGAATGCAACATCATACAGGGAATTGATAGGCCGCCTTCTATACCTTTGTGTAACTCGGCCAGACATTACCTTTGCGGTACATAAGCTGAGTCGTTTTCTCTCATGTGCTACTGATGTGCATATGCATGCAGCTCAGAATGTTTTGAAGTACCTTAAAGGTAATCCTGGTCAAGGACTATTCTACTCTGCTAAAACAGATATTTGCCTCAATGGCTTTGCTGATGCTGACTGGGGAACATGTTTGGATTCAAGACGCTCAGTATCTGGAGTTTGTATATTTCTTGGAACTTCTTTGATTTCATGGAAGTCTAAGAAACAAGAAGTTTGCAGTGGTAGTAGTACAGAGGCTGAGTATCGCAGCATGGCTCAGGCCACAAAGGATCTTCTCTGGTTCAGTTACATGTTGAAAGATTTACATATTGAGGTTGAAACAAAGGCCAAGTTATTCTGTGACAATAAATCTGCAATGCACATTGCAAATAATCCAGTCTTCCATGAGAGAACAAAGCATGTTGAGATTGATTGTCATACAACTAGAGATCAAGTGAAGTTTGGGTTCTTACAAGTGCATCATGTTGATACTGAGAATCAGCTTGCGGATATACTCACCAAGCCATTACATCCGGGTCCTTTCAAATCCATACTTGGTCGTCTTGGTGTTTCAAGCCTCTTCCTTCCTCAGAAGTAATTCGGCTTGAGGGGGGCTATTAACATATATGTATAATGGTTATTGTTAGAGTAAAGTTTCCTTTAGCTTACTCTAAGTGTATATAAGGAACATGTGTATCAACATTCTAATCAAGAAGATTAATATCATATTTTTACACTCTCTCTCTAGTTAATACCTTTATCTCATATTCCTGAACTTGTCTACAAAACATCAGTCGATGATTGGATCGACCAACATCCAATTATGACACTATGTGGCTTCGTATTGTTTTCGTGTAATCCTATTTTCACTAAATTGGCAGCACAACAAGGAGGTTCCAAAGGTGGAGAGGATCCGGTAATTCTGGAATTCAAATTCATGATCTATGCTTATGCTAGGCATCATTTTTACCTATGTCTTTGTTTGACTAACTCCATTATGTTGTATTTTTTTTTTTTTTACGACTAGTTGGCAACATTTATTGCATTAGGAATGGTACTACGTAGCAGACCTAATGCTTTGGCTATTGTATTACCGACACTGAGGGGAGAAACGTAAGTATCAAGGACACAACAACCTTCCGCTTATAGTTTGGGTGACGGCTCAGGTTCGTGTGATCCCTTATGTGAACTAGGAGCAAGAGTACTGTTGAATTAATTTGTGTGTTATGAAATGTTATTGAACTATAAAATGTGGACAGGCCTCCCAAGGTGATTTATATGTAGGCTTGTATTCATGGGCGCGTAACTTGTTACCACTAGTCGGAAGGAACCCTCAGTCAAGGGATCTCATCCTACAGTTGGTTGAGGAGTGAGTCGTTTGTTTTCTTGTCATCTCCTTTTGCTATATACAATCGCCTCACCTTGTTTATGAAATTTTCTTCCTATCATCAGAATTTTGTCGAATCCAAAGGCTCGGACTATTCTTGTAAATTGCGCTGTTAGGGAGAAAGAGCAACTAATTCCACCACCTTCATTTAAGATCTTGTTGCGGCTTACTTTCCCTACTTCATCCGCAAGAGTAAAGGTAAGTAGTAAGTAGAATTTTAAGATATAATATTGCTATTACTTTTGTTATTTGATTAACTTGAAAAATGATTTGTTTATATACATAAGATTTTTATTATGGTGAATGACCAATTTTGTGCAACATTTTTTTATAGTTAATGTTTGTCTTCACTTATTATGTTTTAAAAGTTAGATATATATTGGTTCTTGTTTTATATAAAACGTTACACATATAAATTACATTACATAAACAATTATTAAAATGATGTTAACAAAGATAAACTAAACGACCTTATACCCCATGGCACGGGTACATCGCCTAATTGGAATTTATAAAAACAAAACTTTGGTGCATTTTGATCACAAGCATGGTCTTTGTATGCGCACAGGCTACCGAGAGGTTTGAGGCAATTTATCCCTTATTGAAAGAAGTGGTTCTTGCAGGAAGCAAGACAATGAAACAAGTCACTCAACAAATATTCACTTTTTTTTTTTAAATTAGCTAGAGAAGGTATTATTGAGTTTTTCTGCATCCATGTCTCTTGTCTGAATAGAGTTTTGATTTTATCGACGGATGTTACAGAAAATCATGTTTTAGCCATGGAAGCTACAGAAATCGCTATTTGGTCTGTGACCGAAAACTTTGATACATTGCTTCGAGCATTGGGACAATCTCTATGAAGAGAATCTAGAAGCTAGTGTTGCTCTTCTTAAAAATCTTGTAGACGAATGGAAAGATCATTCCCAAAAACTATAGTGTGATACTTTTACTCTCAATCAAACTATGAAGAGTTTCATACTAAAGAACGAAAAAGTCATCACTGAAGGAGGAGCCAATGCTTCTCTTTACAAAGAAGCTAACAAATATTGCAAAGTGATCTTGGGGAGACTCTCTCATGGAAGTGGCTGCCTCAAAGCTACCATTACTGTTGTGGTTCTAGCTACTGTAGGAACCACTGCTGCAGTTGTTCAATATATTTGTTTTTAGGATTCTGAACTGATTAATGAATGAAAATGGAATGAGATGACAAAATTGTGACTTGTTCAATTTTAAAATTGTTTGAAATATTATCATTTGGGTGTGATTTCCTACCCATTCATTCGAACTTTAAATTTTCTCTTAAATCATTTGAAATTGTTATCTATATAATAATTGAAGTATCAAACTCTTTGAGAAAGAACAAGATTATGTTGATAAAAGACTCTTCCTTTTATTCCCTTGAAAACTAACTCAAAACCAAGTTTACACAATCTTAATCTTGTTTAAACTAACTCAAGATTGTGTAAACTTGGTTTTGAGTTAGTTCCAAGGAATATC